TCTGTCTTCGATAAATGGAAACCCATATAAAACTCCACCTTCCACAGTGTCGTACTGACTCCTCGAAGCCACAAAGAAAAAACAGAGGAATGCGATTAACTCATTTAGATAGTGTGGATTCTGTGTCTTTTTGTGAAACACGAACTTTCTGCTGGAAGATGAGATTAATCCATTAGTCACTCAACAGAAATACATTTTCAACAACATAATTTGATTAATCATAACTTACTTAAGAATGCCAAACTCATTCTTTCTGTCTTATGAAATGGAGGAATTTGTCACTTTTTTCTTATTTGCACTGCTCCGGTGAGAGATATAAATCTGTTGAAGGCTTTTTGCTTGAAAAACAAATCAGTCTATGTTTTTTAAATTTTTTATTGACATTAGAAATGACCCGGAATCATTTTAGTTGAAATGAAAAACCAGGGCACGTGTTGAGAACTGTGTCATAACAGTAAACTGTTTAACTTTAACTTACAGAAATGTATTTCAGCGCCTGGCAGGAATTCTGAAACTCAGGCATTTGGAATGAAAAGTGAATGAGAAAGCAGAGGCTTACTTCTGGAAAACGTTTCTTGTTATTTAGATTGTGTGGAATAATGCTTTCGAGAAAAAAAAAGATGCATATAAGATGATAAAATTGCCTTAAATCTGTACTTATGTCACCCCCTTACCCCACTTACTTACTTATGTCACCCCCTTCTGGCAGTGAATGTAGTTACTCACCTTTGCTTCCACTTATAGGGAAATCACACTGATGATGGTCTGTGAACAGGTTTGGTTACTCAGATTTGTTTAGGAGGATTTTTTTTTCTCTTTTCTTGCTGGTTCCATGTGGAATGTCATCTTATTACTGGAAACACCAGTGTAGGACCCCTCTTGTTTTTTTCTCTAAACGTCATTTGATACTTGCTCCCAACTCTAAAACGATTTTCCGCTTAGCTTTTAAAGGATCAGAAATGATCAAATATACCAATTTAAACCCTAGATGTATTATAAAACGTGTGAGACTTACTTCTTAAATTAATTGTCAAAGTATATTGAAGACCTGTATTCCATCTAGAATAACCCTAATACATTTTGGGAGATTAATATAACACGCGGCCTCACCTCCAATGTGGCAGGCCAGCTACAGCTCGGTTCAAGGGCATGAGGTTGTTAAAAGTTTGAGGCCTAGTTTTATGTGCCATTTTAACTGACCTCTCAATTTTCCTCCAAATATGTGTAAAAAAATGACAAGGAGATAATGATTAGGAGAAAACGATGAGGAGAAAATTGAGCACCGTGATGGAGATATTAGTCATATTTATGGCAGTTTATCTTATTTAGTCATTTTAAGAAAGTGAATGGGTTGTGGTGTGAAATAATGAATTTGGTAAAGTGAGAAAAGGTTAATGCAAATTAAACTAAGGACTAGGAGCAGCAGTTACATCATTGCCTCCTTGTGGTAGAACATCCCTGCTGAGAAGTGTATACAAACAACTTATGTAAAAATGTCATTTCACGTCACTGATATTTTGAAGATGGAAAATGTGTAAAAAAAAAACTTCCTTAATGTGTAATGAAGCTGTATTGTCTAAAACATTAATGTTTGTTGGAGGGGCTGTTTTTTTGTTTGTTTGTTTGTTTTCTTGTGACGAAAGCGTGACGAGCAATGAACACAATGTGAACAAAGCATCACTCCCCAACAATTGTGCTTAATTCAATGCAAAGGTCACCGGTGTTACTGCCATTAAATTTAACCTTCAATATCTAAGTCCGTAAATGGCTGAATCGGCCTAATTGAATTCATAAATGGACACAATCGGATTAAACAGTTTTATCTCTATGATGTCTGGAGATTCAGCATCTCACTTAAAGAGAGACGGCATGCCTCTTCCTCATCAGATTATTTTTATTATTAGATAAAAACCTTGGATTTGGTACATTTTAACAGTAAATTCTGAAAATAGATCCCCAACCAGTTTACTCAGAATTTTTTTTGTTGTTGTTCATGTCTGTATGTCCTGACAACACAAAGCCGTTATGGTGCTTACTTTCTCTGTCTGACAGACACTCTTATGACCATACCAGTGCTTTATTCCTTGTTGAGTGTGTGTGTGTGTGTGTGTGTGTGTGTGTGTGTGTGTGTGTGTGTG